CTTAGTTTTTGAAAGGACTTCGATATGAAAAATGGCCCAAAAAACCGCTCCCATCCGATACAAATTTTTCATATTTATTTCGCACACGGAGATATTTTCTATTGATTTTTACCGACAGGTATGAATATTCAACCTGCGTACCCACCATCAAAGCGTGGAGATATATTTTCTCAAAATGATTGCAACACTTGGAAGGTGGCTTCGGATTTCGTATAAATTCTCGATCAGCATGAAATTTTGAATCAAGTTAAACATGTCTCTGTGTCCGCCTATGTGAAATTTGCGATAAATGTTCTCCCGTATTTTTTATTTATTTTATTCCACCTATACTAGAAACTCAACTAAACAAATAGCAGTCGAGTTCAATTGGCTCTTAATGCAAAACTAATATTAATTAACAATAAAATTGAGTATAAGCATAATAAAACAAATAAGAAGAAAAAAAAAAAAGAAAAAGAAAAAAGAAAAAAAAGCATGTACACTATCAGCATAGGAGCACACTTACAACCGGTACAGGACCAAATTGCAAATGAACCCCTAAGCCATCGCAAACATGAATAAGCCTGGCAACCGATAATAAATTGATAATAATTCACTTTCGAAACGTAACGACTTTTTAAGGATAAAAGCTAGTTTAAATACGACATAGGTAAATCGCGCGTATTAAGCAATGTTGCTTTAATGGACTTTAAAGAGTCCGATAACGAGAATAAGTGATAGACGCCATTTAGGTTCTTGCAAACGACTCTGAGCGGATTGAACAGCTCATAATTAAATTTACACTGATTAAGCTTAACCAAGATAAAATGCCTAGAGAAGCGGTTAGGGACATTAAAGCTTATTTCACCAAGTAATGAAGGCGAGTCAATAGCACCATTTATTACTTTAATTCGAAAGGAAACGCCAAGAACAAATCTACGTTTCTCAAGAGACGGTAAGGACAGCAGAAGCAACCTATTTTCATACGGAGGAAGAGAGGCAATCGGATCCCAACCCAAATTTCTAAGGGCAAACAGCAAGAACTGCTTTTGAACAGATTCAATTGAATCTACGTAGCACCTATATGAAGGAGACAACACAACTGAGGCATACTCGAGTATGGGTCTAACCAAACACATGTACAGCCTTTTCGTAATGTAGGGATCATCAAGCTCTTTGGACCACCTTTTTATAAAACCAAGCGCGGACCTAGCTTTGCTAATCGAGAGCTCAATATGCAAGTTAAAACGTAACCTATGGTCAAATAGAACGCCTAAATCTGTAATCGAATCGACGTCCTCTAACTTATGCGAATCTATGAAATACTGAGTAATGAATGACTTTCTTCTTGAGAATGAAAGCTTCTTACATTTACTCAGATTTAGTTTCAGGAGATTCAAAGAGCACCATGCAACAAAATTATCCAAATCACCTTGAAGCTGACGTGATTGCGATTCAACAGAGAAGGAAGAAAACAGTTTCACATCATCAGCATACATTAAGATCTGGCTGGAATTAACCACCGATGGGAGATCGTTAATGTATAAACTAAATAAAATGGGACCTAAGTGACTTCCTTGAGGTACGCCAGACATAACGGGGAATTCATCCGAGCTAATGGAGTTAAACAAAACTCTGAAGGATCTATTGTGCAGATAAGAGCTTATCCATTTCACTAAGTAGGGTGGGAAACCAGAGGCTTGGAGTTTAAAGATAAGTAGTCTATGGTTAACCATATCAAATGCTTTGCTTAAATCAGTGTAAATAACATCTGTGCGAGAGCCACTAGAAAAAGCTTTGAAAACATGACAGGTAAACTCTAACAAGTTGGTGACTGTAGATCGCCCTTTCCGAAAGCCGTGCTGGTGCGGAGAAATATACGAATTAATGGCAAAGGCCAAATGCTGAGTCACAATACGCTCGAACAACTTGGGCAAGACACTCAACTTGGCTATGCGTCTGTAGTTCTCAACAAATTGTCTACTTCCACTCTTGTGGATAGGAATAAGGAAACTACTCTTCCAACATGAAGGGAAAACACCTGAATACAAGGACATGTTAAAAATCTTTGAGATCACACCACACAACTCGACAGCGCAAGATTTAAGTACACATGATGGAATTCCATCAGGTCCAGGCGAACAACTGTATTTTAGAGAACTCAACCCTTTGAAAACATCATCTTCCGAAATAACCAAGTTAAGTATTGAAACCGAGTTAGTTATAGGATATGGGTAGTTTGCTGATAAATCGAAATTAGCAATCGAAAAGTTTCGTCGGAAATACTCAGCAAATAGATTTGAGATTTCAAAATCATCCGAGGAACCAGAGCCATTAAAAGAAACATGAGAGGGATATGTGGAAATTTTTCTTTTAGAGTTAACAAATTTAAAGAAGAATTTAGGATTAGCAAACAGAGAGGATTTAATGAACTGAAGGTATCTGCAGTAATAATGATGGTTGAGGGAGTTAAATCTATGCCTCGCCACCGAGTAAGCGACATAGTCGAGCGCAGAGCCACTTTTCAAATATTTTTTGAATAGCGAGTTTTTTCTATTCTTGTGATATTTAATTGTCTTATTAAACCACGGGGGACATCTGCTTCGAGGTCGACAATGCTTGATCGGAACAGATGCAGCAATAGCTAGATTTAATGTATTGTAGAACGATGGCAATAAGCTTTCAATACTACCGGTTGAGAAATCAAGCGTCAGATGTGAAAGACGATGTTTTAGTAATACAATATTGATTTTATGAAAATCATAATAATTATTTAAACAAGTTTGATTTGGCACATTAAGGCATTTCAACAAACCATCATTAATATGATGAAAGGAAATGCATATTGATGGATGATAAGGATCCTCAGGTAAACTAAAAGGTGGACAACGATTTACGTAAATCTCGGGAAAATTGGTAAAGCAGAGATCAAACAGTCTACCATTACAATTAGGGGTACGATTATATTGACCCAAATTATGATCAAACAATTCACTAAAGAACACAACAGCCCTATCAGACGTTGAAGTAGGAACCAAACAGCCAGAATTATCAGTGTTACACCAAGTGACTTGAGGCAAATTGAAGTCACCCAATGCAACGAACAAATCGGTGGGTCTAGACCGCTTGGCCACTTCACAAATGAGGGCAGCGTGTTTCCTGTAAATGGAGATATCAGAATTTGGGGGAATATAGGAGCAGGTTATAAATAGATGTTTATCAGGCATATTCGCACGAATAGCGATAAATTCAACGTCAGGAGAAGTGGGAAATTCAATTAAATTGGACGGGACTGACGCAGATATGGCAATTAATACATCACCACCAATGCGATTTACTCGATCATTTCTAAACACTTGGAAAGAATTATGAAAAAGTTCCGACGAATGTAGATCGGGTTTTAGCCAAGTTTCAAGGCCAAACAGAAAAATTCCGTGCTCACTGAATTTAGAAAAGTGGAACGAATTTTCGAATTTAGGCCCCTAACATTTTGATAAATGAGAGATAGTGGGCCTGAAGAAACAATTAGTTTTTTGAAGGCGACAAGACTATTGCCTTGGTATTACGGGGACGATCTCGAGGGATAAATTCCTTAATTAAGGATCCTACTGGCCACAGTGATTTGTTTAACAACATATCACTGTTTTCAGTCGGAACTAATATTTTAAAAGAGGAGATTGCCCTAGCTTGAGAAGGAGCCTTTATTGTGTAAAGACAATAATTAAAAAACATCATACACTGCAAGAAGATGAGTCTGGATCAACAAACGACAGGAATGTATTAAATTAAACCCTCTGTCCTTAATATACCGGCATAGGCACCACAGAGACATAACATGTATGCGTTCTTAGGCCGAGCGGAATTTTTGGATGGAAGATTTTGAAAATTTTCCCCAAAAGGGAATAACTTGTAAATGATATTCAAGCAGTTAAGCGATTAATTATAAATGTATAAGTGCATGAGTTTAAAACTTTTCTCTCTTGTGCAAATGTCCCAGAGCATAGAGCGATGGCTGACTCAAAGTACCATCTCGCTTTTTGTCCTTTAATTTAATTTTGGAATCGGTTTTCAAAGAAAAATATGCATTACGAAACAAGACTCGTTCCGATAAAAAATATCAAATTTGCTCCATTTGCGTCACCAAAATACATCTAAATGTATTTCTAATGTTACAACTTTTAATAGACCAATTTCTCTAAATGCATCGTATGTTAGCGAAATAATACAATAATTAGAAAGAACAACACCTAGTATTCTCCTACGGGAGAATAACAATAATATTTTAGGTTTCTTTTTTTTTTATTTTGTTTACAACAAGTTTTTGTTATTTATTAACGCAATAACGTAAGAAATGAGTTATGTTAATACCCGGGGGTCTCATTAATATTCTTAATTTGCCCTCAAAGTAGAACAGCAAGCAAGTAAAACAATTGTTTGTTCAATATGTTAAAACAAAAAACAAATGTATAGAATTCTATAAATTGCTTATTACTTATTGTCTTCATAAAAATAGGGAAAAAGGAATTTTGTTAATAATAAATCAGTTTTTACACATATCTCCCATATATGTATGTATATCAATAATAACCTTATTTAAGGCCTATTTTCTTTTATGATATTAGCGATGAATCATTAAAAGAAGAAAGAAGTGATAAAAGAAAAAAATGTTTTCTTTGCATGTTCGCATGACACTCTTGCGCGGAAAACAAAGAAATTATTTTTTATTATCCTTGAAAAGAGAAAAAGAAAAACAAACAAAAAAGTAATATGAGGTGAAAAGTTGTAATACAGAATACATATAATTATCGACATATATGTATATATATATATATATATACATATATATATATATATAAATGTATTTATATATACCTATGTGTGGTCATAAGCAAAAAGGTTTCATTTGCTATCACGCAAACTGGCTTAAAACGTATATTTAGATGGTAGATAGATTTACAGTGATGGAGAAATTAAGGTGAGCACAATTTGGCAAAAATATTTTATCTCCGAGATTAACTCACCTGATATAATCATATCTCCTCTTTCGGTGGTCCAATAATTTATCGAAGCTGGATATGCTTCAGTATGGCATTCTAGTACGACATCTTGACCTACATAGGCACCTTCCAACTGATTTGGTATGGAAAGCATGGGAGGAACTAAAATAACATTTTAAATAATTATTAAATTATATTTATTTTCATATTTGCAAAATCGAACATTGACCCACGCGATCAGGCTGTTTTCCCTTTGTTCTTGTACATTCTATTTACAACGTAAGCTACAAAAATCTGAAATGTCCTCGTATTCAGGTATGATAAGAGTTTTGATTTTTTTTTTAGGGATAAATTGATATATTTATTTAGTTCTCTTAGTTCGATTTGACAGTTGAAATTTCAAACAAGCAGATTTGCAAAGATAATTTGTCACAGCTGTGCTCATGCTTAAAATATTATATTGTGGAAAACATGAATTTTTTTCGAAGCTTCACTGTCTTCACTCATTTCATTTTGTTAAAAGGACAAACGTTATACGGATATCAAATGCAATAGTAGCGTAATGGTAATCGAAAAATTTGGAATATTTTCATTTATCCATTTATTTATTCATAAGAAATTTGTTGAGATAAGTCGAATTGAGGAACTTACCATAGAACTTAAGTAAGAAATCATGTACACTTGTATTACATTTTTTTTCTTTTTTATTGCGAAATTCATGTAAAGTGAATCGCTTGAAAGTAGGCAAATATTTTTAGCAAGTTCTACATAAACATAGTATAAAAATTTGAAAAGCATCCTTGGATTTGGCAAATAGTTTTCTTTCGATTTTATCTCATTTTATTTAAGTTAACTGAAATTCAGCGGGTTCTGATCTGAAATTTTCAACTAAGCCAATGAACAGAGCTTCTACGGGCACTTAACCATTAAGTTGAATCAACTCAAAATGTCGTAAAAAGCGATGAGAATGCAAGAGTGTATTAAAATGAATTGTGTAAAAGAGCCGAAGACATCTTGCCATTACCTAAATTGGATATACGAGATGAGTTGTACAGTAAAAGGTTTGACACCTGAAGTACATTTCAGCATAGAGTTCAACAAATTTATTAATAATTTTTCGCAGATGAACGTTAACAATATCGTAACAAGCTTGCATTTTACTGGGTTTCATATCTATTGTTTAAATTGAAATTGAGTTGGATTATGAGGCATCACATCTAGGCAACCAAATGATTATGCGACCCTGAATAAATTGTCAGTTCTTTCTTTGTCTCCGAGAGAAGGCTAAAAAATACTATAAATGTTCGTAAATAGCTGTTATCTGATTATAGCCACTTTTCATAAAGACATCTAACAGTAACTGATACCATGCATAATAAATAGATTTATCTAAAAATTTGAAACAAATGATAACTAAGACTATCTATAATTTTTATTGAAAAATGGCCGTGATTCACGTACAAGCATGGCCGAAATATAAAAAAGGCTTTAATATAGGTGCCAACTTTAATAAAAATAATTAGTCCAAATCGATATATATAAGAATTTTTAAAAATTATGTAACCGACGAATCGAACAAAGACTCAGTCGCTACCATGAAAAACAGCAAAGGTCTGGTAAGAAAGAATATTATACTCGGCTAAAGCCGAACCTCTAATATCCACAAACCTTTTTGCAAAAAACTTTGTTAAGATGGAATGTTAATACTCCTTAACGCTGGCTGTGGATTGCCGACGCTCACAGTGAACCTCTCTCGAGAACGCCCGAAGCGGCTCTACCATATGTTATGCTCGTAATATATATAACACATATATCAAATATGTGACTTAAGAAGGTCTACATAAAATGAATTGAAAATTGAATAAAATAGACGCGACCTGCAGAACTCCACCTTCAGTTTGCTTGAAATCAATGAAAACATAACACTTACGCATCCACTAAGCTACAGCCATACTCTACCTCTTTCTCTTTCGTCACTTCTTTTTGACCGTCACCCTGTTACACATACATGGTATATTCCTGCACGATTGGTCATATTTAAAAAAATAAATAAATGAAACAATAATAGCTTGAAATGTTATTTCCATCGCGGCTTAACACAATCCTGCGATACATACCATTAAGAGCTTTCTGCTGCAAAAATAGCGTTAAGCTCGGATATCTACGTCAACATGCACGTGCATGCATAAAAAAAGCAGACATGAATATAACAAAAACTAATTTTTAAATTGTTGTCCTTTATGGCCTGCAATCCCCTTCTACCCACCACTCACACCCCTATTAGGCAGCAGGTTTATTCATTTTATGCACAAAATAACGAACTAATAATCGATTTAGGCATGTCCTTCGATCCGTTCTTCCGTCCCAAGCTGTCTGGTTGGTAAGCATGGATTTAACGAAAGCACTGGAAGTTAGGAAGGAAATAAACCGAATTGTTCAAAGGGCACGTCTGCGGTACAGAATAAATTGAGAATAACTTTTTCTTCGAAAGGGGAAAAAATCGATATTTTACAAATCGCATATAACCATAGAACCATATATTCTACGGGCGATCTGCAAAATTAGAACGTAGTGACCGAACCAGCTAATGTTTTTGAAATAAATATTTTGGACGCGAATGGTATGTCGACAACCGAATATGATGTTCCTAGTTATCTGAAATATTAATATTCATGCGTAGAGAACGATTTCGTTTAATATTCTTCTCCAAACATTTTGTTCTTCTTCATATACGAAAGAGCTTTGTGAATAAGTTTCATTTCTAAAAGCGTTTATTAGAGTGATTAGCCGGCAGAGTTGCATATGTTAGTTTTTTTTACATTACTTTGTAATTTTTAAAATTTTTTAAAAATATTTAAATTTTCGAAAAATTGAAAGAACATTTATTTTGTCAAATACTTGATGCACAAATGTGCATAGGATCAAGCTCTCGCCGCTTACTCTATTAAAAATTGTTTTTTTCATTATCAACTTCTTTAAGAATAATAGAAAGAAAAAAATGGAATTATCCTTTCTCCTGCATACGCAATTTCAATACACATTTGTTGATGTCAATAACAGTAGAATGGAAAGCATGCCCAGGAAAGGAAAACAGAAACTGAAATTAAAATTAAACACTTTATTCTATAGTGCAGAAAGGCAAAGCGGAAAAGCTGCAAATGGATAAAAAAAAATTTGCAAAAGTCGCTTCATATCTGTTTAGCACACAGCACCTACATAAGCGAGCATATATACATATATATGTACATATATTGAAGCATACACACTTACAGACGCCATAAATTCACATAGATATGTAGAAACTCTATCAATTTGCAATAAATTGATAGTTTAGTAAACGTAAAAAGAACCTTATCGCTTATACGTATAAGCATAGATGTGTGTGTGTGTGTGTGTGTGTGTGTGTGTGTGTGTGTGTGTGTGTGTGTGCAGGCAAAAATCCATGCATGCATATTCGTCTACACTCTTAAGTACATAGTTAAAGCTTTTGTTTACCCATACCCATGCGCGTGCATACACATAGAGAGATTTTCCGAAATTACTAATAGATTTTTATACAAATTTTTTGCTTCCTTTTTACTCTTTTGTGTCTTGCTTATGTTTGAAATTCTTACTTTCGTTTCGGGCTTACATTCCTCCATTTTGGAAAAGAAAAATCTTTTACATTTTTCGTAATTCTTTTAAATGTAATTAATGAACAAAATTTCAATTTCTAGCATTTGTAAGAGCTACAAGGTTACCGTACCGTAAATTTATCGCTTTACTTTTCATTCATTTCCTCGGCTGTATATTCGGGCGGCATGTGAACGTCTCATATAGGTATCTAGCGTCACTTTATTAATGGCTAATGGGAATTTTGCTCTTCAGGTACCATTTTGCATTATCTTATCGGTGATCGGAGAGCTATAATCGTGCTTGGAGGCGTTAAAATCAAATTTGTACGAGATGGGCGAGTCCTATGGTTGTTGATTGATGAGACGTAAATATGAATTCTTTCATGAGGTCATACTTGACAGAGCTTATAATTATATAATAAAATATCTAATAAGGCATAAATTCGTTTAAATATCTGCGTCAGTTCGAGATGGTGATTAAAATTACGGGGGAAATAGATAGTGATTGTACATTCCCATTATGCAAAGGTGTAATTGAGAATCCATTAGACAAACAAATAAAAAATGTTGAATAGTTTCTAGCAGAGTGAGTAATATCGATAAAACCAATTAGAGCTCGTTAAACATGCACTAGCTGAACATTTTTTCCCAGACTGTGCGATCCGATCGAGCTTGTTTGCCCAAGTTGATACTACTTCTCTCTCTATGCATAACTTGATCATAGTTTCTAATTAGCATTTACTTTGGCTTTTCGCCGATGATAGGAGAGTTTTAAAAATTTCTGCAAGATTTCATTCATTCATTCGTTATATCAAATATATACATATATTATACGGATTATATATCGAAAGCACATATATATCATAACGTTTTCGACCGTACAATATACGGATTATAGGCACGTTTTAAAGTATAACTTTGAAAGCAACAGATTGAATACGGGTCGTCCACAAAATTTTTAACGATATTCCAAAATGAAAATCAATTTAAGAAAATCCTTTTAGCCCAGTGTGAAATCATTACTAATGGATTGATATAAAACTGTTTTACTCTTCTGACTGTTTTCTATACTGCAAGTAAAGGCATGTAGTTAGTGACACATTGGAAAGTACACATTTTTTTTAACAAAACGTAAGCTAGTAGTACACTAAAAGCGTATCGAAAAGTAATTTAACAATGACGATAAAATATTATGGATGAGCGAACAGGCAGGAAATTTTTGATTATTTAGTTTTTGCAAAAGGAAAGATAAGTCCTTGATTGTTCTCCCAATTACAAAAGTTGGTAGTAAATGAAAAGTTTTATGGTGTTATCAGTAGGAAATAAAAAAAATTAAACGAATTATAGCTTGACTGATAATTCTAATAAAAATATATTTTTAATGATCGCCGTTTAAAACTTGATTAAATGAAGTTTCCGATCTTTCAATCCTTGCAAGTATGTTCCATGTTCTATGCTCTCAAGATTGTAAAATTGCATCGAAAAAAGACTTTGTATCGAGCATTATCTTTTGATATATAATTATTTAATTGCCGGTTATACCGTCGGAAATGAAACCATAGTCAAATTTATTTGTCCTTACAATATCGAAATTAAAGAGAAAGAAATTAAATCGAGTCTAAGAAGGTAATTAACTGTATCTTACTTATAGCAGGCGGGATTTTTATCACCCGCTTGGGAATCTATATAGACCTTTATAATAAGTTGTCCATAAGGTTTTAAGTTATTAAAGAGTTTCTAAACCCAGATGTTCCCATACACAAATTTATAAACTTTCACTTTGGCAAAAAAATTAATCCAAGTTTAAGTCGTTGTCGTTAACGTAAGAAAAAAATGATAAGGAAAAAGAGACAATGTTAAAGTTTAACTCGCGATTTTAATACCGACTGTTAAGGTCGATTAACGAAAGCGGTAAATCAACTTCGAATCTGGGCGGTGATCAAGAAAGTACGTATCTGTCGCTCTTGCAAAAAATTGAAAAGATGGAATACTGCTAACCTTTGACGACGGATCAAGAAATGGATATTTAAAATTTTCGACCAAAATCCATCTATTCATCAGGAAGGAAAACAATATAAAATTTGCCTTAGGTCGACTATACGTTTATCTTAAATACAAACCTTACAATTTTGTTACCTTCTAACAATGACTCACTCGATCAAAATTTAAACATTAAGTTATAAAAAATTAATTTCTTTATTTACATGCCTGATTAGCTATAATCATTATTATATATTCGCATTTAATACAAATTGAATTCAAAAGTACGTTATGTCTTTAAGGTTGAAGCTTGTCCGTGAATAAGTTTTTATTAAGAAACTGTTTACACAAGATTTTTGATTACAATTCCTATGCTACTATTGTGATGACAGGTCTTTTAAAATAATTCAATATAAGATTGCTTTTAGCATTTCTGGGATTACGATATTTTTTATAGACGGATCAAGTCCTTTTTCAATATTAAATTGTACAATTAGGCTGCGAGCATTGATGTTAAATTGAAAATTCCGGTTAAAATGGGAACGCTAAGGGATAGTCAGGATAAGGACAATGAAGCGCGCAAATAGTCGGCTTTGGCGACAATGAAATTACCACTTCTTTAACCAACATCGCTCGTTTTCCATTCACTCTGAAGGCGAAGTGCTTACATTGTTCGCATATGTTGTTAGCCGATGTAATAGGTTAGTAATTTTCAGATAAAAACGTCTACACAGGAAAAGCTCAAACAACTTACTAACCCTATAACCTTTTAGCTGCTATCGTTAGCAAACCTTATCATAATAAATCAGGAGAATGTCAAGAGAATATTTTTAGTATGACACACATACGTTGACATTTTTATTATTATTTAAATCATTATCATTATTATTCTTGTGTGTGATGATGTTAGCGTTGATGAAATAAAATGAAGTGTCTTTCGGGTTAACTAGGTCAAGCGTCTAAAAAATAAAGACTTTGTTTTCCATATATAACAAAAAAATCTAAAAAAAGCAAAATGCTTACGAGGGTTTATTGAGAAAGGGTGCGTTCATTCCTACAATTATGAAGTAGTTTAGTGTGACCTCTTCCGTTTCGAATGTTACATATAGGATAAGGAGTTCGTACTGTGCTCGTACATTGCTGAGAGTTACGTCATACGCAATCGATATAATTGTATTTGCTTAAGATTTCATTTTATAGGTATTTTTTACCATTGTAGAAATTTCAATACGCAACGAAACGTTACGCATAGACTTGAAACACAATACATTTTAAACAATTGTACCGAGTTTTGGCACTTTTGTCTTCTAGCACTCTATAGCTGGGAAATTTTATTTCTAAGAAAAATGCTTGCAACGTATTTCACGTCTCTGTGTAAATTGCATTTCGAGGAGAAATTTCGATCTGCGATGGAATTTGTTTGCTTATCAAACTGAAAATGAAACCAAATTATGATCGATGTAGACTAAGATTGCGAAAACCTTTTTTTAATTAACTATTTATTTATTTATATTAAGTTTTTAAATTTCAAACGATATGATAAATGTTATATAACTGCATGATTACACATAAATAAAAGAGAGATTTATTTTAAGCAAAAAGTTTTCATTTGAAGCGCAGAGTAAACATTTGATAAAACTTTAAACAATTGATTGCCTGCTCAGGCTTGTTTCTGTCACAAATGCTAATATTAATGTTTAGTTTATTTTATCGATTTCAAATTATTTATTCTCATTAATGTCTGGTTAGTGTCGGTGTGAGTTTGGTATTGAAAATTTTTATAGGGTATTTCAAACTTACACTGTACGCGTAGATGTACACGTTTACTAATGGAGGGTGGTACACCATTTGAAGCTACGCATAGATAAGCAGCCATATGCAAACGACTCACTTTGGTTATAAGCAAAAGTTCACCATCAACGACGTTAACTTTGTACGAAAAAGAAGAGAGAATTTTTAAATGCAATGCAATAAACAAAAAACAAAAAAAAAAAAACAAATTTTACTTTTGAAACTTAATTAAAAAAGTTGAAAATATATTAAAATAGCTTTGTTAATTGACAGCTCGTACCGTGTTCACCGCCTATTAGCATTTCTTCGCCATCCTCTCTACGCCACATTACATATGGCTCCGGATAGCCGCGAGCCTTACACATTAACGTAACATTTAAGCCTTCACGCACCACCATATCATTGCTTGTCATAGTTTCCACTATCAGAGGCGGTACTGTAAGAATTCATTTAAATTTTATTAAGAGATCTTTAAGTTTTTATACCTTTTACATATACTATGTATTAGTTACCTACTACTTGTAGATAGCCTTTCCGTGAACGCATAGGGTCAGTATTAACTTGACACATATACCAGCCACGATCTGTTTCTTCGACTTCCTTAATATGCAGATACCATGAACGATGATCATTATATGTTAGACTAATGCGATTATTTTGTGATATAACGTTATGATGTATAGAAAGTATGGTCTGAGTATCGACACGAACCCAAGCTACCTATTATAATGGATAGGTTAAATAAAATTTGTAATAAAATCATCTTTAAGAAAACTGAAAGGATAGATAGGATCTTTTTTTTTTGAAGATTTACTAAACTAAGATAAAACCGTAGAAATATTTTCAATCATTTTTGTGCTAAAATAATCAAGATTGACATTAAATGACAAAGAATGGCATTCATTTTAATATTCCGTACGTTATTGTGTAGAGAAACCCGGTAGATGTACACTTAGTAAGTAAATTGAAAGAATTTACATTGAAGAATTATTACGTTGTTGGCTTTCTCTTTTAGCTGTTTTATGTATCTTTTACCGACTTAAACAGTTTCCAAAGATGATATAAAAAAGTGATTATAGTGGCGTAAAATCGCTAAACTTTTCAGACAACAATTTTTGTTTAACATCATAGATGTTTATAATCTGCTGGATTATGTGAAAATAAATTCATTCCCTGGCTTCTATTTCTTGATTTCTAACTTCTCTATCCTACAGATGCTTTTGGTAAATCGTTCTGCTCATTTACAAATGAAAATGTATTAGTGTAGCTTCCCAAAGGCGACCAATGCCAAGAATTTAAAAACTTGAGATGAATTCATTGGTATCGATGACGAAATCGACTTTTGATTTATACATTTTGAAGTTCAATTTCAGTTTATTTGCAGACTTATCCGCCTGAGTAGCCGAAGGGGAGGAATCTCGACTAGCAAGTCAATGGTCGTGGGTTCGAATCTCAAGTGCGGTAGAGTTTTTAATAAAAAGCCGATAGCCTTGGATGCTAGTGCTTTTAAGAGTTTAGTCTTAGAATTTATTTCTCTGGCGAAATTAATAATAATAATAATAATAATAATAATAATATTTGCAGACTCATCTGGTTTGCGCTCATGCAATAATTATTATTAATATCTTCTGCAATATTAAAGTGCAGGTACTATGAACATGTGCGTTGATAAACTTAAGCTTAGCTTACGATGAAAATAAAAAATTAAAGGCAGAATTCAAAAGTTAACGACAGCTATACGACACGGACTGAACTTTAGGCAACGAATTAGACAAGGAGAATAAGTAATAAGTATCAATCGAATTTTCACTGAGAATCTTGGAGTTATCAAGTCATTAGTTATACCATTATGTACAAAGCTTGACCACCAGGTAATGCCTGCATTCTTTAGAAGAAGAATTGAAACTAATTTCTTTCCAAAGTTCAAGTTAATAAATTTCGCCATTAATTAACTTGACCGCGTATGTTATGCTTACGATGAAGGCTCATATGGCGGCAAGCTACGTCTTAGGTTCAATCTAAGAGTTTGCAGGACGAACGGCAAGAATTATTTTCGAACGGTTACGATAGAGCTCGTCTATAATACCGCTATGGGCGTCGGATTTTCAAAGTATTTCTTTTTTTTCATTTTTTTTGTCACTTCTTCTGTTTCTAAAACGCAAAAAGCTATTAACGATAAGTCTTTCAACGTTCAGAGAACTTTTTAAGCTAATTAAATCAACTTTGATATAGGCATCACGGTTTAGAGGTAAAATAAAATACCGCTAATGTGTTTTTCTGAAGCTTAGCGTATCGCTTTAAAAATTCAATGGATGAATATTTTTTGAAAAAATCCTAAACAACGACAATTTTCTAAAATCAGTTCTTTGAAAAAATGCTGGTCTGATGCTGCTCCTCTTAGATTGTGATTTCTTTCGCTTGTTATTGTAGGTGCAAAGCAAAGCTGTAGCCTGAAGCTAAAAGTGGCCGAGCAAAAAATTTGGTACTTTGCAAGTGCTTTCTTGCCTTTATTTTCTTTTTTAAATGTGAAAAAAAAAAATTGTTATGTATATGTAGGCTCTTTCTCTTCCACTTCCTTCCAACATTTCACTCAAAAACCCGCATGTTAATAAATCTTTGCAGTTTTATGCTCTACACGACAAGGGTGTATTAAATATGTGCGTATGTGTGCAGCACCCAGATGAACATGAGAAGAATGCAATTGTTGTGTTGAAACTAAAAGCTGAAATTTTTGAGACTCGTTCTTTCACAAGGACGAACGCTATCGAAAGTGCTTCGGATCGACGACTTTTACGATCACTTCCCATATAACGACTTGTTTTTAAAATTAATTTTATAAACAAATGTAGCATCAAGTATGGCATTTAAGGGTGGCCCGTCGCCCACCACAGTTTTTTTTATTTATTTTTGTATATAAGTTTAAAAAATTATTGTACCGCAACATGGCCTAACAAGTATGCGAACGTGATTAAAATAAATCATTAGATGAAAAGTGAGAGATTATGATATTTTTAGACATGAAAACGCTGTGTGGTTTCTGCTCGTTTTGCGTCAGAAGAAAAATGCAAAGTTTTTAATTGATAGATGAACGCTTAACATCAATGGATTGGAATTAAAAATTCCCTTTTATCAAATGCTTCAATATTGATAGCAACACTCCCCACCATAATCGTTACGAGCTTTTAAGCTAATTATTCCTATGATTTGCGGCATGTTTTGTGAATTCTTAGTCGATGTACACAGATGTTCATAAAAATGTGTAATTCAGCTTTCAGATGAATTTTATGTTAGGAAAACATTACAAAAAGCACTTGCAGCCGTCAAAGTAAGGAAACATTTATTATATAGGGCAACACTCATAGCCGTTTATACCCATTTAACTACACATCTAGATCCCCAATGCACACATCATCAATCAAAAAATACTCCCTTCCATCTTCTTCAATGTCACTGTTTCCCTTGTCGCTAGTGTTGTCGTTTGGTTTTTTGAATAATTGATGTTAAAAGACATATCATTGAAAGCTTATGGTTTTATACTTTGCTATCTATACATATATACATATATATAGATGTGTGCATGATATTTCTTTATCATTTATTGACGACAAGCAAATATTGATACAAATGTTTTCTGTAGTTTTAATATGCAACTCAAACCCAGACATTAGTTGCGGTTTTGAAAGTAGAAGAAATTTCTAGTGATGTGCATTGAAAATAAAGAATGCACATCAATTTTGATTTATTAGTGAAGTGAAACGGTTAAATTGCTTGTGCACGTATGTGGCGTATGTGTGCGGTTTATTCACTTACTTTGTAGCCTTTTAAATTTTCCACAACACATGCTAGCAAAGCATCTCTACCCACTGATACAGTGACATTTGCTACCGGTTCAGCAAAACGTGGCATATCAGAATCTAAAGATTGACAAATCAAAAACAAAACAAAAAAAAAAAGAAGAAGAAGATTTACTAAAATTAGTTGATTTGGACTCACTTTGCTTGCAATCAAACTTGCTTACCTTCAACTGATGTTTGCGATATTTCACCAACACCACCGCCACCGCGTGTATGTTTGCCTGCAAATTTTTAAAGCGTAAAAAACCTTTTAATCAAATTTCATTTTTATTTAACTTTAACAAATTTTATTAAGTCACTTGTCCAGAAATAAAACGCATTTGAAAATCCGTTTACTTAACACACATTTCTTTATTGCAACTAAATTCGTTTTTCATGTAACAATTTATTAAAATGTTCTGGTTTAAAATTCAGGCCATAATAACTAAGGACAAGAGATACTGCATTTGTTGCTGTTGCCTGGCTATGCCAGATTACCATAAGTATTAAGTAACGCAAGAAAGCTTTCAATTTTATTTTAGTTGCGCGGCAAAAATTTAATAAAGAAAAATATATAAAATATTTTATGTATGAATCATGTCGGGAAAAAAAGCGAAAGTTTTCCTTTTTTTTAAATTTCGTTTAGATTGACTTTGCTTTAGTTATATATATAAAGGCGGAATTTATTATAAATACTTACTATGGTATTTCAAGCGAAGATTAATTAGGTAATTATTTTAAAATATTCCGTCCTTTCTTAAGTTCATTCATTCTTTAATTCCATTCTCTTTGTAAGTCAACTAGGTCCATTCGGAGACTTGGCTAAGAAATTGTTTATTTTGAAATTGGAAAATCGTTAATTTTGCTCTGCTTTTCAGTATTAATCTTCTCTAGAAATGTGTGAGTTTGAAGCCCCTAACTTTAAGAATTTCATTTATTATATTTGCAACGGAAATGTACAACTGTAACCTGCAATAAACAAATGGTAATAATTATAATAGTAATCGCGAAGGAAATGTGGTTCTGCAACTTTTCTTATCGTTCCCTCTTTAAGTCCGAAGACTAAGAGAATTCAAGAATACACTCAAATCTGCTCCGACCTCCATTGAATACCCTAAACCCTTTCACAGTTATTTATATAATCGCTTTTTAAAATAAGGTCTTATATGGGATTTGATTGAAAAAGTGGTTCAATCCGAATCGTTTTCTACAGCGTTCATGCTTTTGTCAAAGCGCGCCAGTGTACCATATTTCATTAAAATATCTCAACAGCTGTGCCCTGTAGGCCGAACACAAGAACACAAAGACGGATAGGCTTTGATCGATTCGGAAAGTTCAAGAAGGGGTTTAACATTTATGCCGAAAACTCCACAAGTGTAGATTTAGCGAAATATCCTTACAATGAGAAAACCAAAATCTGTGGTACCGTCCGTCGGGATAAACAGTGGACTAGTTGCCATACTAAAACAAATAAGATTGAATGTGAATAAATATGTACATATAGCCCGGGAAAGGATAAGTGCTGCTGGAAAAGTGAAAGCTTAACAAACATAATAAAGTCACCATGATTTCAATAATCCATCAGGTTCTTCATTATTGCGAACTTCACCCGGTGTGAGAGGATCTTTTCTTGTAAGCATCAGCGGTATGTAATGAGTTATTACATACTCTGACTTGAGATCAGTGCACTTTCCCGTTGCTTTCAAATCGTAGTATTCCCTCTTTGAAGGGGATGCCTCGAAATTTTTCAAAGAACTACATATATATATATATATCTACTTTCTTATAAAGGAATATATGTTTAGCTATAATTTTTTTTGAAGACATTTAAAACACTTTCCTTACTTTAGATAAGCTACGAAAGTGTTGAATCGATTAGGTCATATATACGAGTACGCTTCGTATTTCAGCAAACTTTTTGTGCATCTCCTTCAAGAAGAGATATGTTTGCCATGAATTACTTGTATTACATTAAAATTTCTTAAACTTAAGATGTCAGAAAAACTTTGATACATTAATTTTGTCTTACAGTTTGGAAGATTAAAGACCGGGCAAAGCGGATCGTTACTTGGCCTATATTGCGGAAACTAAAAAAAAATAGTTTTTTCAATTAAGGAAAAATTGAAAACTAAACGAAACATTTTCTTTGTTTTTAGATGGCATATAAGTGAACAGCAAGTATACCCAACCGCCGTTAATCTGTATACAATTATCAAAATAATTCAAAGTTGATAATTGCTGCTTGCCAGTACGTGCCAATGAGAAGATGAAGAAGTTATAGTTCCCTTCTTTCTTTTTTTTTTTTTTTCTATTTTTCTTATATATATTTGTGTTTACAACACTAATGTGTGATGTTTTGCTCTCTTTGCCTATAAATTTTTCATATCTCCTTCGTTTGTATACGAACACACCTTATGTACACATCGTTTATATTCATATTTATATATTCATCAACTTTAGTACTTATGCCGACATGTTATAAAGCTAATATATTTAACTTTTATGCCCCTTCATGCATGAACGCCTGTAAAAATACTTTAAAGTATCACTTTTTTAAATTTAAGTGCGTACGAGTGCACGAGTTGTTGAGAGAGTAGTGGTTAAATGTAACTAAATGGTTTTTGTAAAGGCATGTAAAGCGTACTTATTTCAAGTCGAATGACAGGAATTTATGCGTAGAGACGTTTTGAAGAATGCAGGCATTAAAGCAAATCTTGAAAAATTCATTTAATATAAAAAAAAAAAAAAAAAACAAAACAAAAGATAAATAATATTAGAAATGCAAACAAAAGCACACTAAAAAAAAAGTTTACTTAATGCTAAAGCAAAAAGACTTGCTTGCATCTCCACTTGTTTTCTTTTTTTATGTAATTTGTCCAATGGGTCGCGGGTGTGTGGGTATTTCCGCTTTTTTATCAACATTTTCCCTTCAATGCGTTTCTCTGCTTTTTGCGAAAAAAGGCGTTAAGGCGTTTGGGTTCACTGTTTTATTGGATTTGTTGAGGTTAAATGATATTAGTCTGGTTTCTTTTAATTTTATCATAAATGTTAAGTAATAATATTTCAAGAATATTAATTTCTTTAAAGGATTTGTTTTTTTTTTTTTTTTTTTTTTTTTTTTTTTTTTTCTTTATGCAAGTAGTTTAGTAGTTTCATTTTCTACCATCCTTATTAAAAACAAAACAAGAGTATCAAGAACAGATAATTTTTGTAAAAGAAAAATAAGTTTGTAAAATATCTTCTGCAGCACTTAGGATTTGCACATATGGTGCTTGCATGTGTGAATGTATCCGGTACTATGTGAAAGAATGTTAAGGAAAAATTATATTTTTTTGAAAATGGTTGGTGGAAGCAGTTTTTCCTGCATTAAAAACACTAGCTTTGTAAACTACCCGTGTCGTCTTTTTTCTCTTTTTCTTTTTTTTTTTTTGTTTTCGTTAAGGAAAAAGATAATAAAAGTTTACGCTTTTATAACCAACACACATAAGAGATGCGGATGTAAACTGATTTCGTCGTTTTGGGTTTGTAACAAACGCTAGTCGGCGTTAGAGATTCTTTTAGGTGTGCATCTACAATCAAGATAATTCCTTTCAATAAATTTATTCATCTCAATTTCTCGGTCCAGTTTTTTATCTTGTTACGTTTTTAGTTAATAAACTTTCTAAAATAAAGCGAAAACGTGAAGACACAACTGAAAGTGCAAGAAATCCATTCCATTAGGAGGAAATAACACAACTAATATTTTGTACAGATATTCTTAACTATTACCCGCTATCAAGTATTAAATTCATACGTAGCTTTTACCGCCACTTTCGTTACCCTTACCCGCGAAAGATAGCAAATATGTGGCAAAAGGAAACACAAAAAAAGTAAGAAAAAAATTATTTTCATTTTAAAAGAATGTAAATTTTATAACTATACAAAGTGCACATGTATAGTGTACAAGCAAATATACGTTAAGAGACGTCGAGACTAACGTGCGCACACCTACCGACAGGTAAAACATAAAGTAAATTATTAAGAAAAACTTGCATATATGAAAAGAAAAAAACAAAAAAAAAAAAAAAAGGAAAAAGGAGAAAAACCAAAACAAACTTCCTGTCTTTATAGTTATTATTATGAAAGAACACAACACAGTAACATTTACTAGCGCAACCATCGTTACCACTACCACTACCGGCACTGCCATCATTATCAAGTAAATTTTATAGATTCAATTCTTTGTTGTTGTTCTTTTGTTCTCTCTCTCTCTCTCTCTCTCCTCTTCTCGATACTTTTTGTAAAACATAAAAATTCCATTTTAAGTTCATATTAACCAAACGATCCACCATTACTTACTCATCCTCTTCCCGTTACCAAGCGCTATTGTTCTTGCGGTTTTCTGGTCTTGTCGGTGGCTGGATCTTTACGACATATGTACGTAGATATGTGTAAAAACGACAAATGAGCTACAAAATGTTACTTTTTCTCTTCTTCTTCTTCTTCTTCTTCTTTTTTTCTCCTTTTATTCATGTTCTTATTTCTTTGCTTATTTATGTAAGCTTTCGCTTTATTGTTCTTAATACTCATATGCAGGCAAAAGTTTTGCACTTCATTTGACTTTTTAAGTGCATATAAAAAAAAAAAAAAAAAAAACAAAAGAAACGTAACATGATTTGAGGCAAGTTATGCTGTACCTATTTACAGTTAGCAGAGTCTACTCTTTCAGTTTTCTTTTTGCTTTTTGGTAAAATGTCTTATTGTTGCTAACTAGCAAGCTATTTATTTCCAAGCTAATTGCAGATAGTGCGCATTGAAGATATCACAAATAAATAAGAGATCAAATAAATATTACATTTTGACCAGGATATTAGACAGTAAGGGAAAAATGCAGTAACAGAGAACCAGCCAGTGCTAGCTAGATTTCCTATACCTCCTTATGTTATCATTCACTCTGCTACAAGTCATACGTTATTGCAGGAAATATTATGTTAATTGAAAAATTCGCCGAGTGAGAGTAAGCCAGTTTTCATTTTTAACTTACATACATAGTGCACTAAGAGTTATTTAATATGTACCACTTAAGATTTCCCATATAGGTAGGACTAGGAAGTATATAATAAAGTGACTACTTATATGAAGCACTAAGGGCTACTACACAAGGGGTAGATATCATTCATTTTTATTGTTTCCAACTTTTACGTTTCTGGTTTTATATAAAAAATATCTCTTCTTAGGGGAAAATTAAATGGTCAAGCCTAGA